TGAAGCCGGGGGGGGGGGGGGAGGGGAAGGAGGTTCCGCGTCAGACGCCACATTGCGTGGGGGGTTTTTAGAAATGAGCGGTGAAAAACTGTTCATTCTGAAGTCTATTGACATATAATAAGAATTCCGCGTTTGTTATTTCTTTATTTTGTCGTTTTCTTATAAGAACAACTGAGGTTGGTAAGCAAAGTGAATACAATCATGTTACAGTACGGAAGGAAACGAGTTATCATTTTTTATATCTACTGTAACACCGTGGTGTAGCCAGAATCGTGTTTTGAAGTCTTTGGTACAGAAAAAACCCACTGAGGCTACAGAGTCTCGGGTTGATCGTGTGTGGTGAGCGCCAGCGCTATCAAAATTGATATCACCGTAATCGATCTGCCGAACTCGAGGCCTCGGGAGTTCCAACGGATATTTTTGATTTGATTCTCATTGAAGTCTAATTTCAAAATTTTCAAAATGGACCAACGTTTTTTGATTAGAGTTTGTTCTCTGATATCATAAGAGATGTGCAGGTCCATGGTCGTAAATCCTTGATTTTTCGTAAATTGTAATTTTTTCCGCTTCTTCCTAAATACATAAAGATACTATTTTGTTTTAATGAGTATGTTCTTTACAGGGAAAATTGAAATAAGTCTTTTAAAAGTTTTCGAAAATAGAGTAGTTTTTCGCGTAATTTTGTTGCGAAATTTTGCAATTTTCTGCACAACTTTTTCCTAAAACTACCAATGAAAAATGTTTACAAATGTTCATGTTCTCTTTCGTATGTATTCAAGGTAAATACACTATGGATTTCGAAAATTGGAATAAAATCGAAATGATAAATTCGAATTCCCACGCGGTGTCATCATATTGTAGTGCAATTTGATACGTGATTGGAGGCAGTCATTTCAAATCTTGAATAAGGAAGTTAGTTTAACATTATTGAAGATTAATCCTTTTTAAACTGCGTCATGTCGTTGTGAAAACGAATGGATCATTTCGCTTTGCATGTAAGTGCGGGGATCGCGAGAAATTCGTGCAAAACGAGTAGCTTTAATACTATAACAATATACTTTAATTATTTTATTTTCAATCCGTTTGCATTTTGTTGTTAGGGTATCCAGAATGATATTTGTAAATTTATGCATGCAGATGAGCGATGAATATTTTATTTACGGCTAAATATGCATAGCAAATCGTTCGTTCGTACATTTTGCAGAACGTGATTTAACTGACGGCATTGTAAAAGCTGTTTTCGTTTTAAAGTTTTAATTTCAAAAAATATATATTTTTTTAAAGAATTGAAAAAATGTTAATTTTTTTTGGCGGCACGTTGGTTTTAGAATCTTTTTATTGGTAGTTGAAGTGTAAGACAAATTGGTCATATTGTAATATGACACAACATTAAACAATCGGGAGAAAGTGTGTGCTGTTGTTGCCCAACAATTCAATTTTGTTCAGGCAAGATTTTTTACATATTGGAACTGTTCGGTTTCTCATTCACAAAAGAAAGGATATTGGATAACTAGCGCAATCAAATATTAAGGTGATGATTTTTAAAATACCTTGTATGCACTTAGCGTTCAGCACAGGAAATTGGCTGTAGCATATGCTCCATATATAAGACTCTTTTTGTCATAGTGGACAGATCGGGAAGAGAGGAATTGCATGAATTGTGCAACATAACACTTCTGAGAATGTTTTTGATGTATTCAATAAATTCCATT